CAAGGTGTCCTGGTTTTCCCAAATGAAAATATGGTCACCCTAGTAAAAATGTCATATTGGTTATTTATTCTCCAGGGGCACAGTTTTATATTGTTAAAACACTTTACAGGATTTTATTGTTTATCTTTGAACTCTTCACTATTATGTTATTCTTATACATTTTTCTAAGGTCCACATTTGTGTGACCATTTTCAATAATCTTTCTGCTGCTGTAAATTTGCCCATTGTGGGACAATAAAGAGATTTTCTATTCCATTCTATAAAAGGGGTAAAAATATATAAGTAAATCTAAACAATGTATGTATAAAAATATATCTGCAAAATCTCCTATATTCAACAGCAACAAATCTTTAGTTAAGCAAATTGTGCAACATGGCAATTAAAATAATAAAAATCCTATCAGATTTATATTCCCCACACTGTAGATATATTAGAATCTGTCCTTAAATTACAGCCAAACCTATTTACACAGTAACAGATAAAAACCTTTAGATAAATTAAACATTACCCGCCACATATCTGACTCAATAACCATTAAAACAACTATTTTCATTCATTTCAGACGGAACTATTCACAGACTTGGATTATATTAAACTGAACTTCCAATATTCACCACTGTTCGGCACCAAGTACCTTTTTCCTCTGACAACAGAGCAGCTGACTTGCTTGATCTCGCAATGAATCCTGGGATAACCAAGGATACCGAGGATACATCGGACCCATCCTTCAAATTCGGCAAAAAGAAGGCCGCATAGGGAGGAGTCTTGGAATCCGACCAGACTTTGGCACCTCGCTATGACGTAATTGTCCTTCGAATCTGGCCTTCGGTGGACTCAGCCCATGAATTCGAACAAAGCCATGCTCTCCTTGTGCAGTTCCTCAGGGCTGGTTCCTCATCTTTTCCTGGCTCCTCATGCATGTTTTCCATGATGACTCCAAGATTCTGTTTTTTTCTGTATTCATTATTTTGGATTTCTAACTCAGCTGCCTGTGAGTCCTTCATTAAATCAGCAAAACTCATCTCTGCCCGCTAATCTCTGCATTTGGGTCCTCAAAGCCTCCACTCAACCTGACAGTTATAGCAGTTTTCAACCTGAACGAGGGACAACAAAAAACACTTTGCAGCTGCATTGTACTGAACACAATTATTTAATACCCTCTCAAAACAAAATACCTCTCACAGGTTGAGCAGTTTTAATGTCACTCAAATACAAGAAAACATGTAGAACAGAAGATTCCTACTGCAACTATAGCAGGAGTTAGCACAAGAAATAAATCCTGACTTTTATCCAACAACTACAAAATGTTTCCGCTGGTTTGATGTTATTCCAGGATCCAGGTTCTGGCTTCAGGCAAAACTAGAGCACAAAAAAATAGTTTGCTGTAGCGGGTTTTTGTATCATTATCCTGTGCACTCCACTGCAAAGGAAGAGGAAAAATAAAACATGCATCCTCTGTTAATCATTTAATATTTGTGAGTTTTGTAACAAACAGCTTCTTGGGGTTTTAATGTTAAAGTAAAAAACTAAATTATGCATGTTTATAACTGTGGACATCAGAAATAGTGTTTTCGTAGGCAGTGATGTTAACTCCCCCGGCAACTAATGATTATTTTAAATTGATCAATCTTTTAATTAATTTTCATGAAACCGGATCCTTTCTGCGTTGTGCTGGTTTTATTGCGTGATCAGGCCATGACACATTTTGTTTTTAAAAGGGCGATATCTCAATTTATTGTACCTGACGAGAAAAACACACAAGAAAACACCCATGTTATAGACTGCCTGCTCCAAGTCCTACACAAAACAAAAGTACATATAAAAATGTACTTAAAAGATTTATAAATTAACTGGATGTATTCAGATGAAAAATAAATAGCACAGACCTCTCCCACAGAACAACACGACAAAAGGGGAGGGTCTAAGGGGTGCAAACAATTTAGATTCAAATTTGTTAATGGATTGGTAAACTAAAAGCCAAAGGGGCTTAAAGTGATTTTTCTTTCAAGTTTAAACCAGGCAAAGCTAAAATTAGGCCTCTACTGAATTTTGGATATCACAGTTTTTACAGACAAAAAAAAGACTACAAAAAAATGCTACATGTTAATGGATTTTTTATTTTATTTTTTTACAGTTTTTATTTAAATTACCCTATGATGGGGTTTTGCTCTCAGCAAATGTCATGTTTAAGATATTCCACTTGAAGAATATTGGATTTTTAATGAGTCCTATTAATTATGATTTAGCCCTTCTGGTAACATAGTGCCTTAATATCCCTAATGAGCTGTAATACAGTAATGAAGGATCAAAAGTCAATCCAGTAAGACCTTTAGAAAGCCTCCAGATCCACTGGTCAAAACCACCTCAGGAAATGTTAAAAATAAATTAGTTTAATTTGATGTAAATAAATCAAAAAAGGATTAAGCAGCATTTTTTCAAAGGAACTTGTTTTATGATTCTGAAATCCAGAATTGCTGCCAATAATGTATAACAGTATAAACACATTTAAAATCAAACAAAAATATAAAACTGACATCCTGATTAAACACAAGAAGAAAGATAATATTATCTTGATAATAATATTATCTCAGTGAGCATCCAGGTAAGAGGATTTTATATCCCACAACGCAGCTACATTTATCTAATCCGTCCACAGAAAGAAAAACAAGTCAAGGTTTCATTAAAAACTGCATGAATGATTTGAGGAATCATGGATTTATAAGACCTGATTAATCGATTTAAAGTCAGTTTCCAATAAAAATAGCTAGAAAAAGACTCAATAATAAAAACTCTGAGGATTTGATTACATATGGTGAGTAATAAAGGCTGGTCATTTCACATGGACTCTTTACCCAGGAGCAAAGTATCATTGATTGCAGTGATAATAGCAGATCATATACAATCCTAGTGCAAAAAAATCCTTCAGTTTTCACTGTTGAAAAATCAACAAGTCCTGATTTTAAAGTGATAGCAAGAAAAGTTTGTTTGGTCAGTTTTAGTTTGAAACAGATAAAGCCACTGCAATAAAATGTTAAAAAGCAACATAGACCAGGAACTTCTAGCTGTTTCATGAAGACCCATAAAAATGTATTTCTCTTCTTTTTAGATGTAAAAACATTTCCGATTTTCAAGCACTTTGTCTCAATAATGAAAATTAGCAACACATTTGTGGCTACAAGAGTTATGGATCAACAATGAGCTCCAAGGATCTCCCATTTCCT